AATCAATTGGGTTAACCAGTCGCATTGTGTTAATCCATCGAATTTGAGATTCATGTCACAAGATTGTCATAACTAGATGAAAAAAAAAACAATGAACTAACTTGAACAAAAAAAAAGATTAATTAAAAAGATAAAAACAAAGGGAAAAAACCTATGGAAAGAAAAAACTTATAGAAAAAAACTAATAAAAAAATATAAATTAGTTTGATTAACTTGTCAAATCTGATATTCATGTCATGAAAGTTTAATAACTAAATAAAAAAAATTAATACGAACAAACTAGATTACACAAAAAAATTAATTAAAAATAAAAACAAACAAAAAAAACTAAAAGAATTAGAATTTTTACCATGAATTGCACCATGCAGTTCACAATAAAAGACTAGTGCCTTTTAGTTATAGACAATACCCCATTATTTTCCTGGAAAGTAGTTTATTTTTGGAAAGTGAATTTCAAAAAAATAAATTGTTTTCTGATGTATTGCTGGTGTAATAAAAAATAAGTTGGAAAATATTTTTCAGTATTTGACCATGTTATGAAAAATGAGCTAGAAAATAACTAATTAATATTTTATTTTTCTCAAATTTATTAAAATAATGAGAAACAAATATTACAAATTAAAAGGTTCAATGAGAATGAAATTGAAAAAAAAATATAATTTCATAAATTATCTCAAATAAAACAAGCAGCAATGAAAATAATAGAGATCAAATTTAAATAATACAAAAAATAAAATATGAAGAAATTAAAATAATAATAATTAACATTTCATAAATTATTTCAAATAAAATAAGTAACAATCAAAAGAATGAAGAAAAAAATTGATAGATAAAAAATTTCAATAAAAAAACAATAAGAAAAAAACAAATAACAATTATAAAAATAAGGGTTAAATTTAATATAAAAATTAAATTTTAAGAGATGAAATTAAAAAATAAATATTCAAAACAAAATATATATAGTAATTAAAAGTTTGAGAATTAAATTTGATATGATCAGCAAACAATATGATATTTCTAAATTTTTCACAATTTTCAGAAAGTATTTTGCTTCTAGATTTTTTAGAAAAACACTTTCCTAAAAACAAAGCTATATTTTTTTTTGACTGAAAAATATTTTTTGATTATCAATTTTTTCAATGATAAAAAATATAAAAAATTATTTAAAAAAAAATAAACATAGCCTTAAATAAGTTAGACTAATTCTTTTATTATGAAAAAATATCTAATAAGCTATTGACGGGTCATCATTCACCTTATGGGTACTCCCGGGTTACCCCCCCCCCCCCCCCTCTCTGTAAATACTGAATTTTCTTGAAAATTTCAAAAACCTTGATTTTTTTATAAATAATAACTCGTTTTAAATTCGATAAATACTCATCTAAGTTGACTTAAATAATTTTGTCTTTATAAAATTAAATTGTTTTGTATCGGATATCCAAAATCCCTGTATGTCAAGTAAAAAAAAATAATATAAATTTCATCAAATTTAATACAAGCTTGATCCAAACTTAAGAAAATATATTAGTATTAATATTATATACAAGTACATGCGCGTATAGAAAATAATAAAGAGCTTACCAACGCTTTATCGCATGCCAGACCAATTTTTTTGAAACATAGAAAACAATGCTTAAGTGCTACGAGTGTATTTAAAAAAAAAAATAACAAGTTGAAATTATAAATATATATATATATATAAATAACGGTTATTAATCTCTAGAAATCAAAATAATAAAAAATAAAATTAAAAAAACCAATAAAATTAAAGATCAAAATCTCAAATATTAAATTAAAGATAAAATTTTAAATTTTTAAGGCTATAAATTTACAAATCAATCAAAAACAAAAATAAAATTCAAGAGAGTGAGCAACCAATTTTTTTTTTAAAAAAAATATAAATACCAAAATATCTTATTTTAAAACCATGTTTTAATCAGCAGATTGACTCGTAACCTTAAGAACCCAAGACGCAGGGCAACATGGGTTTAAAAAAAAATTAAAATACAAGTCAATTTAATAAAAAAAATTATTTTAAAAGAGGTGCATCTAATAAGAAGAAAATAAAAAATAAAACTCAAGACAACCTGTATTATTCTTAAAAAATCAGGAAAAAACCTTTTGAAAGTTTTTTTTAAAAAATACCAAACAATGAAATCATAAAAAAAAATATAGAAAAAAACCAAATAAACTTTACTGAACCTTCTAACCCTGAATTAACAATTTAAATTTGTAATTGGTTAAGTTCAATATATATTTTTATTAAACGATTAAATTTTAATAAAATTACATCTAAATTTTAAAAAATAATTTCTTTTTTAAAAAAACAAGTAATTCAATCGAGTACAAGTATGTGCACGTAAAAATATTATGGTATTCTATATGTTGTCTAAAAATCTAGAATCCTACTACTATAAGAGAGGTGGTTAGAAAACCAATGCAATAACTTTTTAACTAGAAAAATAAATTTTTAATATATTTTTATCTAAAAACATATAATACATATAGTTATAAACTCACGAAATTAGTGCCCTGACTTAAACACTTCAAAGTTTGTAAGAAACATAAAATCAAGTTAAAAAATATAGTTTAACTCAATTTTTTTATAAGATAATAACAAAAAAATATATAAATAAAACCCCTACAACCAATTAGAACTTGTTGATATCAAGAATATTTTATCTTATTGTTGGACTTTAAACCATTATCAATTTTTTATTTATTTTTTATTTTTATTTGGTGCATTTTAATAATTTTTTTTACTCGAATTAGAAATTGAAGAGTGAACAAAGTAAGTTCAGAACTCAAATGAGAATTGCAAATGCTAAAAGGATCCCAATCAAACCCCAATCCTGGAGGGAGAGAACACAAAATAAAAGGGGCAAACAATGAGAAAAAAAAGTTTTACAAATAATATCAAATTGGGTCCGTGCATTTTTAATTTTTTTCAAGGAAAAAACCTTATTTTTTACAAAATCAAGCAAAATAATAATAATACCAGGGCATGTTATCGTCGTCTCAAAGGAAGCTAATCAAAATATTTTTTTAAGCTTAAATGCAAACTAATGAAATATTCAAGATCAAAACCAGGAAGAAAATGTTTAAGAAGTGAAGTAAAAAACTTAAAAAGAAAAAATAGTATTGAGGTCCATAATATTTTACTTGTATGTATAATGAATATGCTATATTTTTTAGTTATTTGTTAACGGTGGTTTGAGAGCAAAACACGGGGATAGAAAATGGTAGATGGATTTCTTTTTTTCTTGTTAGGTTAACTCTTTATTATTATTATTATTATTATTATTAATACAGATGTTTGAATTGTATTATACGTATCTTAATTAATTTAATGAGTTTTAAAGTTAATAATTATATAAATTTTTAATAATTTTAAAATTTATAAAATTTAAATTGATAATTTTTTAAAAATAAATTTAGAACTTGACTCGTTAACTATATTTTTAGAATTTAGTTTGATTAACTTTAATTTATTGGTTCGTGAGTGATGATATTGAAATTGATGAAGGTTGAGCTTTACTTATTTTTTATTAATTGCAAGAAAAATATGAAAAGTCACTTAAAAAATCACTAATTTTGAATAACTCACACTTATGAAAAAGAAAAAAAAAATAGGCAAAGAGATGAACTAATTTAGTAAAGGATAGAAACCATGAGTGCCATCAAATCATCTATTATACCATAGGACCCGTCAAACCATTTTGATAAATTATAACTATTAATTTATAAAAAATGATGATATATCAAGTTAAATTAAATAATTTGCTAAAAATCAAATAATAATTACCACACTGATATGTGTTGAATTATATTAATTGCTTGCACGTATCACATTATTCTATTTAGATATCTATAAAATGACAGATAAAGCTATTTATAACTAAATTTTTTTATACAATTTTTTTTTAAATATATTAATTTTAGTGGTAGTAATCTAGACAAGATTGTTCTAATCATTTTTTAAAAACCTACCAAATAATTTTAACCCTAAACAGTATAAATCCTAAGTTAACTTCAAATAACTTTTAATATTATTTAATGGTATTTCAATATATGATCAGAGTCTTATATTTTTTTTATTATTATATTTTTAATTTCATCTCTTAACTATTAAATTTTTATAAAAAAAATTAGATTGAATTTTATATACATGAATTAATTTGAACGAGACAAACATTTTAGCTTCTAACTATATAATCGATATTTCAATAATAATTGTGCGTAAAAACCAATAATTAGAAATGTGGTTTTATTCGTTATTTTTCCAAAACTTTTATAACTTCTATTTTCCAAAAACTTTACACAAACATTGCCATGTTTTTTTAAAATCAAATGATGACGGGTAGTTTTGGTTTGGTTTGGGTCCGGGTGATTGGGTAATCCAAGTGGGTCGGGTTTTGTTTTGTCTCCCCTCCTTCAAACTTCAGTTTTGACTTCCAAGGCTATTTTTCGAAAATGGAAAGCAGGCAATACTTCAATCCACCACAAACTGTGACGGACGACCGCTTTCATTTATTTATTTACTTTGGGCGATACACAAAAATTCATCCATTCATTTAACCTGCGATTTTTTCTTTAAAAAAAATCTCACCTTACACGTGGCCTTATCACCAATAGTTCAATCTCCACCATCCATTCTGGTCAATCCACAACTTCTTTTGGGCCCCACAAGTTTTAGCGGCAGAGATTGAGCTTCAGATCTCCGGCAAGCGGGGGAGCATCCCACTTATTACTATTTGTCTAGGTGAAAGAAAGAAAGAACGAACAAAACAATTACAAAAAATAATAATAATAATAATAATAATAATTTACTCCGTATTCTTTTTTCTAAAAATTGGAGTAACAAGAGAAGAGTTAAAGCGAAGATTCAGCTATTGTTTTTTAAAAAATATTATTTTTTTATTTTTTAAATTTATTTTTAATATTAATTCATCAAAATAATTTAAAAATATATTTTTTAAAAAATTCACGAAACAATACCTCAAGCGCAGCTGACTAGTAAGAAAATATGGTAGTAGGTGAGTCTCTCTCTCTCTCTCACTTATCTCTAAAAACCACCCGCAAAAGCTCACATTAACTCTCTCTCTCTAGAGTCTTCGCCGCGACCACAACCATGGCCGCTGCTTCATCTGCTCCCATCTAGCCTCTCCTTCCTCTCCCCCCAACTACCTCTCCCTTTCCAACCACTACATACCTCTTTCTACTAGTCAGTGGATACTGGATATCCATATCTAATTGAATTGAATGGCGTCAACGCCACCACACTGCTCAATCACAGGAACAACTAAGCCTTATCATAGCAGCCCCTATCCACACAGCCATTTTAAAAACCACCGTCAAACCCACCACCAAAACCCCCATCAAAGATGGACTGCTAATCAAAGAGTCTCTCTTACCAAACCTCCCCTCCCACCCTCATCTCGCAATGCACCAAAACCCCCTGCCACCACCACCACCACCACCACCACTCACCACCCACAAATCCACCCTACCTTCCCTTCTCTTCAATCTCCAAAATCCGAACTTGCCTCCGATTTCTCTGGTCGCCGCTCCACTCGCTTCGTTTCCAAGCTCAACTTTGGGCGACCTAGAACCACTATGGGTAGTCGCCACACCTCAGTCGCCGAAGAAGCTCTCCAGAACGTAATTGAGTATGGGAAAGACGAGGGGGCTCTTGAAAACGTGTTGCTTAATTTCGAGTCTCGTCTTTCTGGGACGGATGATTATATTTTCTTGCTTCGGGAGCTTGGTAATCGCGGAGACTGTAAAAAGGCCATTTGTTGCTTTGAATTTGCAGTGAAACGAGAGAGGAAGAAGAACGAACAAGGAAAATTGGCGAGTGCCATGATTAGCACTCTTGGTAGGTTAGGTAAAGTAGAGATTGCTAAGAGTGTTTTTGAGGCTGCTCTTATTGAAGGTTATGGTAATACTGTATATGCTTTCTCTGCTATAATCAGTGCTTATGGTAGAAGCGGTTATTGTGATGAGGCTATTAACGTTTTTGATTCGATGAAACATTATGGTTTGAAGCCCAATTTGGTTACTTATAATGCTGTAATCGATGCGTGTGGGAAAGGAGGTGTGGAGTTTAAACGAGTAGTGGAGATTTTCGATGAAATGTTGAGAACTGGAGTGCAGCCAGATCGAATTACATTTAATTCGCTTCTTGCTGTATGTAGTAGAGGAGGGTTGTGGGAGGCTGCGAGGAGTTTGTCTAGTGAGATGTTGAATAGAGGGATTGAGCAAGATATTTTTACTTATAACACGCTCTTGGACGCCGTTTGTAAAGGTGGGCAAATGGACATGGCTTTTGAGATCATGTCTGAGATGCCTGCCAAGAATATATTGCCTAATGTTGTCACTTATAGTACCATGATTGATGGCTATGCTAAGGCTGGTAGATTTGATAATGCACTTAATTTGTTTAATGAAATGAAGTTTCTGTGTATAAGTTTGGATAGAGTTTCTTATAATACCTTGCTTTCTATTTATGCTAAGCTTGGTAGGTTTCAGGAAGCTTTGGAAGTTTGTAGGGAGATGGAAAATTGTGGGATTAGGAAAGATGTTGTGACTTATAATGCACTCTTGGGTGGGTATGGGAAACAATGTAAGTATGACGAGGTTAGAAGAGTGTTTGAAGAGATGAAAGCTGGGCGTATATCACCTAATTTACTAACTTACTCAACATTAATTGATGTGTATTCGAAAGGTGGTTTGTATAGGGAGGCAATGGATGTTTTTAGGGAGTTTAAGAAGGCTGGATTGAAGGCTGATGTTGTTCTTTACAGTGCTGTGATAGATGCCTTGTGCAAGAATGGGCTGGTGGAATCAGCTGTGTCTTTGCTCGATGAGATGACCAAGGAGGGAATTAGGCCTAATGTGGTCACTTACAATTCTATTATAGATGCATTTGGCCGGTCAGCAATCACGGAATCAGTGGTTGATGATACTGTTCAGACCAGTCAGTTGCAAATTGAATCTCTATCTTCAGGTGTTGTTGAGGAAGCTACTAAAAGTCTGTTGGCTGATAGGGAGGGGAATCAGATCATAAAGATTTTTGGGCAGCTTGCTGTTGAAAAGGCAGGTCAAGCAAAGAATTGCAGCGGACAGGAAATGATGTGCATTTTGGCAGTCTTTCACAGGATGCACGAGCTGGAAATCAAGCCTAATGTGGTCACATTTTCAGCCATTTTGAATGCTTGCAGGTAATTTCTACTGTGCTGACCATCATGATTGTTCATTACTGCTTCAAGAGCCAGTCAGCACATGCACAGTCAATGATGAGCGAAAACTTGTACACTTGTTTCTCAAATGCAATGATCTGTGCTATTTATTTTGCTCTCTGTTCATTGATACCCTAGTAATCATCCATCTTCAGCAAAAATAGATCAAGCAGATGAAATTATACCAGTGTTTCTTTTCAGTAACGATTAGCAGAATTCAAGTTCTTCGCTTCTGGAGTTTTGAGATAAATTTCCTTTTCTTTCTAATGCACGAGTGCCTAAATTAGTTCAGTTTAATGTTAGATTTTGGAGAGCGGGTGCATTTGTTGCCTGTCAACTTTTGTCCATATTTGATATTAACTTGTTATATGTACATAGTCAAGGATCTTTAGCTTCAAATGAATATGGTTTAAATTCATTTGTATATCCTCTTGATGCAGTCGTTGTAATTCCTTTGAAGATGCTTCAATGTTATTGGAGGAGCTTCGGTTATTTGATAACCAGGTTTATGGTGTGGCCCATGGACTTCTTATGGGTTATAGAGAAAATGTTTGGGAGCAAGCAGAATCCCTCTTTGATGAAGTTAAATTGACGGATTCTTCAACAGCATCTGCCTTTTATAATGCCCTGACTGACATGTTATGGCACTTTGGTCAGGTGAGTTTGAGCTATAACTATTCCTGATTAAAAGACTATATTTGCTCAATTGGGCTGTATCAAGTCCTACACGGTTTTTTTTTTGTGGTTACAAATTTGTATAACTGGATCGGTTCAGGATGTTTAATACTAGTTCTTTTTTTATTCAGAAAAGAGGTGCACAACTTGTTGTGCTCGAAGGGAAACGTCGACAAGTGTGGGAGAATGTGTGGTCCGAGTCTTGCTTAGATTTGCATCTAATGTCTTCTGGTGCTGCTCGAGCAATGGTTCATGCATGGTTGCTTAACATACGCTCTATAGTGTTTGAGGGTCATGAGTTGCCAAAATTATTGAGGTATTTCATTTTATTTAGTTGTATTTGCTAACTAATACTCTCTTTTATTTAACCATTCCAAGAGAAATATCTGAACTCCTTGTTGTTTCAGCATATTGACTGGATGGGGAAAACACAGCAAAGTAGTTGGTGACAGTACGCTAAGGCGAGCTATCGAGGCCCTTCTCATGGGCATGGGTGCACCCTTTAGGTTAGCCAAATGCAACTTAGGTCGATTTATATCAACTGGATCTGTTGTTGCTGCGTGGTTGAGAGAATCCGGAACGCTAAAAGTGCTTGTACTTAATGATGACAGAACGGATCAAGAAAATTTGAGGTTTGGTCAAGCCTCAAATTTGCAAACGCTTCAATTGAGCTAATTGTATCATGTTGCACATTTTTTGTCTCCCCTCTTGTAAATTATTGGCATAGAGATACAGTTGCCTCCCCCACCCCCTGTCGGCGCGTGCATTAAATGGACGTGGAGATGGGCATTAGAAGTTTTTCAAGTCACATAGGAGAAGGTGTTCATAGCACTGTTTTAAGTTGAAAATGTTTGATTTTTGCGACAGCCTGTGGACAAAAGAGTAAACATTTCATTACATCTTAGACAAGAATTCAGGGATAGATAACTAACTCATGGGACAGTGACTAACATTTCATTTCATTACATGGTTATCTACACCTGAAAATAATCGCACGGTTACTGCTTTCCTTGCCATGGTGGTGGTGGTGGTCACTGGCTTTAATGGCTGAAGCCTCATAAAGGCAGAGCGGGTCACATACTTTTCTCAGGTCTCCAACAGTGAAAGGGTGAGAAATAGAAGATGAGGCGGTGATAAAAAAAAAATTGGCCCATCTCTTCTTCCCATACCATTACTGTACACTATACTGTACCAGCACCCTTTTTGCGTTCAGATGATTTTCCAACTAGCTACTTTTTGTTTGGCCATTGAATTCGTGCGCCTACTCGTAACTTCTGATACTAGAGGTGTTATTCTAGAGAAAGCTCCCTTCTGTTTGCAAATTGCTGATGGCAGTGAACAAGTAAATTGGGCCTGAAGAAGAGCTGCCTTTTACAGTGATTCCTTGAGCTTCTGTTGGGACAAGCTAAAATCCTTCCGCTTGTTAAAATGTTGTCACAATCAAATAGTATGCTCCCCCGTAAAAGAAAATTGAACTCGCTTGAATTTCTAGAAGATTAAGATGTACACGAAAGCAGCAAGGTTATTTCTACACGAACGAATATGTTATTAGTTTTAACTCGGAGCCTAGCAAGCTGACATCGATAATATTATGTGTTCTGCGGCCTTGAAATGAATTTGGGTGGAAAAAACAACAACAAAGCCCATACATCAATTCATGATTCATGCTAAAAATGGCAAATGTGTTGAAGGAGGAGGTGCAGGCAATGACAACGGAAATGGAATGCGCTGGAGGAGGTGGTGGTGGTGTCGGGTGATGATCTTGGTGGGAGGCATATGAAGTGGAGGTGGTGGCATTAGAATTAAAAAATGGAATTCCTTCAATTACGGCTTTAACTACTCCCCATAGAAACAGACTTAAACTTGACAGTTTTAGTTTTAAAGAGTTGCAAAAACCAGGAAAAAAACTGAAGAAGCTGATCAAATTTAATCTCGAGCATGGATCAAACTCAGTCTTAAAATTAAGTTAGCAAAAAATAATTTTTTATAGCTTAAAAAATTATCTGACAGTAAATCCAAGCCTATGCTGTTCCTGACACCTGATTCGGACGCAAGTTTCAACTCGAAGTTTTTTAGATTATCTTTCTTTTCAAAATTTGGGTGTCAATTACATTCAATTTTAACTTTTTTATTTTTCTACCTAATAAACCACCAGAAAACTTATTATTATTATTTTTTTAATGTGTGGGATAGAGCTTTGAACTCAGAATGATGGAAGAATCAAAAGAGATGATGTAAGAAAACCGTCGGTTGTCGGTGGAACCAAGTAGTTTCCCCTTTATAATTTCTCCTTTATAACCTTAGCGGGCCTCTGTCTGGCCCATATGTTTTCATTACTTTAAAAAAAAGTCTTCACATTTAATTATTTATATCTATAAAGTTGCAAGTCACAAAAGATATCAATCTGTCAACCTGTGATTTTTTTTAAATTTTTTTAGATAATAATGTTAAGAGTATTGTATTTAAAAGATACTTTTGTAGAAACTCCCCGTTTTTATGATAAACATTTTATTTCTTTTTTCCTTTTTACTCTTTTCCACTGATTGCTCAATAGTTCGTGGAGATTGATAATTACTAGTTTGCATACAACGACAAGATTCCTCACAGGATAAATATAAAAGAGCACGTTGCTTCAAAAATGAGTTAATTTCCTCACAGTTTAAATATAAACGAGCACGTTGCTTCAAAAATGAGTTAATTTAGCAAAATATCATTAAATTCCAAGAATACCTAGTTAACATGTATTAATTTAAAATAAAAAAATAAAATGACTAGACAAATATTGTAAACCTTCTAACAGTAATCAAATATTGACTAACCTCTTCCCCGTGTTAACATCTTTGTTTCTTCGGTCGGTTAAAAAGAATACTTGTAATTTTTTATTTTTTTATTTTAAATTAATTTATATTTTTAAATCATTAATGTCAAAAATATTTTTAAAATAGATTTTCGACACCGACCAACGCACAATCTTCAAAGGAACAGTTAAGTCGAAAAGAGATTAGAGTTACAATATTTACAAAACATTCCTGCCCTTGATTTAAAAAATATCAGCTTCCCTGTAAATATAATATTTATAGAAGAATCACTATTCTATCATTTGACTGGTCTTTGGTCCGCCGACAACTTGACGACCGACCCATCGGTGCTTGCATGACTAGAGAATCCATTTCCCAAAATTATCTTCTCCTCCTCCCCGTCGCTGCCGAGTCGAAGATTCTGGTATATCCATACGAAATAAATACAAAAATATTACGGCACGTTTCATTATAAATACCTGAAATTCTTGGAAGATAATAAAAAATACCATAAAATAAATAAATAGACTGTTTTTTTTTATATACGACATGAGTATCTAGAGATATTTGCAAAATCAAATCTCTGTATTTCTTTACCGGGGATTCACGCAAATATTTAATTATAAAGAATGTTTTTCTTATACTCACTTTTAGATTTTAAATTCTAGATGTTAACATAATACGCACGGTTACTTTAGCAGCGAGTCAAAGAGTCTATTTGTACTGTATTTTAAAATTAATTTTAAAAAATTAATTTTTTTTATTTTAAACTAATTTTTTTATTTTTAAATTATTTTAATATATTAATCTCAAAAATTATTTTTAAAAAGTAACTCCTCCAAACACGTTTACACTTTTAAGAATAATTATTTATTAGTACTATCCAAAATCTCCCGAAATAGATAAAAGAAAATATTATGAAAAGGGACACGTATCACAATCTACAAAACTTTATTGAAAAGATCCTCTCAATAAATCATATCCTCCATGATATCTCTCGTAATATCAGCAGAATTACATCATATACACACACTAACAAACCCAGAACTCCAGAGACTAGAACGGAAACTTCTCAATGTTACCATTTAGGTTAGTGGAGTTATTGTATTCAACGATCAGTTCTATTTTTTGGCATGGAGATTTGAACATCAGCCGGTTTCTAACGAGCAAGAACAGGAAACCTCATCCTCCCGCACTATCAGAATTTTTATATTTATCAATTAAAATTTTTATTAGTATTAAAATTTTTATTTTATTGATAATTAATTTACCAATATAATTGTATACAGGAATACTTTATTGATAAAATTCTCTTATATAATTTTTTATTTGTTAGTATTTTTATCGATAATAAAAAATATTATTATTAATAAATTTACTGATAAAAAAAACGAGCTAAAAAAACTTTATTTGTTTCATTCCATTGATATATTTTCTTGGGAAGCTTGTCATATAATAAAAAAATACTTTATACAGTTCTATACGTGATTATTTAAAAATGTTTTTAAAAACTCTATTTAGCAAAAATATAAATTAATTAAATTAATTTAAATGAACAATTTATAATACCTTAGAATTGAGTTGCTTGAAAAAAAAATCAAGTTAAATAAATTTGCAACAAAAAATATAAAAAAACAAACAACAACAAATAAATAAATCAACTAAAAATAATTTCATAAGAAAAAAATAAAGTTTGTGTTGCTACAAATTTAAAAATTATATAAATAAATCAACTAAAAATTTATCTCATATGAAAAAAAATCCCACAACAACATTCATATAATTATTAATAACATAAAAAATTTAAAAATAAAATAAAAAACAAATATAATGAAAAAAAAAAGAAAAGAAAAGGAAGAAAAAAATTATCTTAATTTAGTTACGATTGAAGTAGAGAAGAGAAAAAAAAAATTATAAAACATATTAGTTAAAAATAATTGAGAAGATAAAAAAAAAGAAGAAAAAACATACCTAAGCACGGGGAAAAGGATAAGGAGTTAAGAAGAAGAAAAAGATAAATAAAGAGAAGGATGTTGATGTTTTTAACATATAGTAAAGATGAAAACGAGGATCATCTGTCGTGAAATGATAGATTCTTATCTTTTTATTGGGATATTTTACTACCAGGTTTATCAATGAGTAATTAAATATTAATATTTTTAATTATTCTGTTGGTAATTTTGTTTATAACATTTAATTTAAATTTTTAATTTAATTAAAAATTTTAAGAAACAGTCAAATATTATTGTATCAGTGATTTTATCTATAATATTTAATTTAAATTTTTAATTTAATTAAAAAATTTAGAAACTCGTCATATAACATAAACGACTTTTTAATTTGTTAGCGATTTTGTCTGTGAAAAACAATAATTAACAATATAATTAAAAAATGAATAGTTTCAAAGCTTTTTAAAAAATACCGATGAAATATTTTTTGGATTTATTTTAATTTTTTTCTGCTATAAATTTTTCAATATATATCAAAAGAATATTTTTATCAATAAAATTCACTATAATATGTCATAAAAAAACATTCCATTAATATTTTTATTTGTATTTATTAATTTTATTGCAGTGACTTTCGACACCACGGTGGTTCCCTGGCCTAAGCGTGCCGTGCGGTGGTTAGTGGTAAAATCATGAAATTCTCCGCATTCGTTCCTATCGAGGAATATTCTCAAAGCGCCAGGCCGTGGTGGTTTTTATGTTGTAGAAAAAACAAATGAGAATGAATGTACCCAACCCAAAAGGCAAGTTTTAAGAAAAAGTTAAATTGAGAATCACTAAAGGAGAAAGGTCACCATTGCGGACTTGACTTCCTGGTATAGAATTAAAGAGCAGCTAGCTACCTGCTTTATACTCTCAATAAATTTGCTTTTGCTTTTGCTTTTGCAAGCAAGTTTTTTAAAATATTTTTTTTTGAATTTTTTACTTTTTATTTGACAGTGTAAACAAAAATTTAAAAAAATTATTTTAATATATTTTTAAATAAATAACACTTTGCATGATGTTAAATAACATTCTAAACCTAAAATATTAGATATTTTTTTTATATTTAATTTATATTATTTTTTATTATACCTTTCAAGTGATTGCATATATTTATATCACCTTATGCTGTA